ACATAAAACACCAAAAGCAATTAAACAAAGTGCAACAGAAACACATCACAAAACGACATTTAAATATAGTTTAAAATGCCATCAAAGAGCTAGGGAGTCGAAAAATAAATACAAGACTAAGAAGAGTATAAAATACAGGAATAAAAGTTACAGTGCCGTGAAAGAAATTAATAAATATTTGATTTAAAGAGAAAAGTCTTCAGCCTTGATTTAAAACAAAACAAAACGTTGCAGCAGTTGTAGTTTTCAGAGAGTTGTTTCAGATATGTGGTGCATGAAAACTAAACACTGCTTCTCCATGTTTAGTATGACTCTGGGAACACAAAGCAGACCTGTCTCAGATGACCTGAGAGGTCTCGATGGTTCATAGTGTACCTGAACTCTATTGATACTGATTTAGAAAGTCTAAAGGTGAGTGGGAAAGTGGAAAGTGTGCGTGTACATGTTAAAATGAAGGAGACGAAGCAGGGTGGGCAAAATCAAAAGAGGACAAAGACAGATGAGGAAGAATCATATAAAACCAATTCATTGCAGGTATGCATGTTTCCCTAGTGAATGACAAATAATTCAAATTCCCCTTGAAAAAATGTGTGAACACTATATGAGTCTTTTATTGACCTCGCAAAGAGTGAACTCTCAAAAACCTTGATCTCTCCTAACAAACTGAACTTTCTGATTCAATCATTCATTCAGGTCATCATCATTGTTGAGGGATCATTGTGAATTTCAGCCGTGGTTCTGAGGGAAATCATAATGTACCAGTATTTTCATTAAAGGGATAGTGCACCCAAAAATGAAAATTCAGCCATTATCTACTCACCCATATGCTGACGGAGGCTCAGGTGAAGCTTTAGAGTCCTCACATCCCTTGCGGAGATCGGCGGGGGAACGGCTAGCACACCTAATGGCATACGGCGCCCCAGACTAACGTCCAAGAACACAAAATTGAATCCACAAAGTATCTCCACACTGCTCATCCGTAGTGATCCAAGTGTGCTGCAGCCGCGACATAAAAAGTTGTTTCGAAAAACGTCATATGAGCTCTGTTTTTAGTCTCACTGTAGCCTGTAGCTCTAACTGCTTCTCTGTGCTCTGCGCTCACGTGTGCGCGCTTGCGCAAGACCAGCAAAAGTATGAGCTTTGCTCACCCTTGTTTACATCACGTAACAGGGGGGCCTCAGGGGGGCCTCCCCCGTAACGGGGGGGGGGGGGACAACGTAACCACAGTAGCTAAAAGATAATTTGCACTACGGTCTTTTAGCAAAGGACCGCCCAACATGTCTGAAGACTTTGAAATTGAGGAGGAACAGCATTTCTTTGTTGAGCCGTATTTGTTTGAGTCCGAGTATACGCACGGAACTCAGGCTACTGGACGAAGCAGCCGCCGCAGCTCATGAGCCTCAGCCAGCCGCAGAATACCGGAGTCGAGCACTGGAAACCTGGTGGTGTAGTTGTTTCAAATGCAAAGCAATGCCAACGGATGAGGAAAGTGTTTGCTGCTCAGACTGGGAATTGGCGATGCTTGCACTTGAGAATCTGGACATCAGTACTGACGAGACTGCTGCTCTTCAGAGACCGTGTATGACCGATCACCCTGAGCGCGCACACGTGAGCGCGGAGCACAGAGAAGCAGTCAGAGCTACAGGCTACAGTGAGGCTAAAAACAGAGTTCATATGACGTTTTGCGTTTTTTTTTATGTCGCAGCTTCAGGACACTTGGATCACAACGGATGAGCAGTATGGAGATATTTTGTGGTTTCAATTTTGTGTTCTTGGACGTTAGTCTGGGGTGCCACCTGCCATTAGGTGTGCTAGCTGCTCCCCCACCGATCTCCGCAAGGGATGTGAGGACTCTAAAACTGGAGTTTGGAGTCTGGAATTCAAGGTAACACAGCATAAACCATTGAGATATAAAGGGTTATTTTGTGGATGAAGAATTCCTTTAATAACACTCCACTAACCTTTCATCTGATGATTTAGAAACCATATATAAAAAACAGCTGATGGTCGGTTTCTACAACTTTTTTTTTTCTACGTTTTTGTTTAAAGAGAGGCAGGTACATCAGAGATGCTGTGGTTGTGTGTAAGATGTGCTCATTGCTCTAACACACATAATGCAAAAATATTTAATCATCCTCAAACAGGTTTGAAATACAAATTCAAAGAGTTTATAAAATGTATGCCCACACATGTAACAATTGTGTTAAAGTGTCCATGAGGTTTGATCTGTGTAGGACAAGCAACCTTAAATTGCATATATCAGAACATAAAGCTGCTATTAGAAATGGAAACATGGACTGTATCATTTCAAGACACTACAGAGATAGGAACTGTGGCTCTGCTGCCTCTCTTAAATGTACTCATATAGAGAGGAATTTTCCTAATCCAAGGGGAGGAAACCTGGTCCAAAATTGTTACAAAAGGAAGCATATTGGATTTTCACTTCGAACTCAACGGAATCACATGGCCTTAATGAGACACTAGATTTAAGCTCTTTTTTGTCGTAATTGACGATCTGCATGTTTTTGCTGATGTCAAGTGATTGCACCTGAGTGAGGGAAAGAAAAGGCTGGACACTCCCTCCTCACTACCTGCTCCCCTCTTTTGAAGGGACTTTGTGCTTTAGGATTCCACTTAGGTGAAATGATGGTTGTTCCTGTGAACTTATTTTGTAATTTATCTTTATCTAACCAGTTATTCTAAGACTTTTTTAAAATATATTTATTGTATTTATGTTTATTGGGTTAATGTTAACCATTGTCGTATTCTAAGTGAAGACTAAATTAAAAGGAGAAGCAATTCAGCCCTCTTGTGAGCAGTGTATCTGCTGATTTGCTATCCATCTGATGTTTCCTGCCATCACCTGCACCAAGTTATGAGGACTGACAGCACAGTGCACTGGGCATGTGCTTTTAAATACGTAACATAACTTCTAAAACTTTGGGGGATTTTTCTGGACCAAATGGCAAATTGACATTTTGATCTGAAGGTGGCGCTAGAATTGGGGCATCATCAAAGTCCGTAGATGTCATCCTCTGGAAACCATGAGAGTCTGTACAAAATTTCATGCCAGTTTATTGAGCTGTTAGTGAGATATTTCAGTCTAGACCAAAATGGTAACAGACTGAATGACAGACCGACATTGGCATCTCAAGAGACATGCTGCTAGTATGGGTGGGGGGACAATGTCAATACAGCATAGTATTGCGATACTTTTGTTTGGCAATATCGTATTATCACACAGTGCCAAGTATTGATTTTTTATTATAGAAATTAATATTGCAAATACATTTTAAACTTTAGGTAGCCTACTAGAATAATACAATTAATTGCTTTTTTAGTCCGATAGAAACATTTTGTTGCTGCAAAAAATGGCTGAGGTGAGATGAACGGACTGAAAACTTAATCTTATTAGATAAAACAGATGTTGAAAAGTTTTCCTTTGGAGACATAAATGACAGTTTTAAAAAAGGTAATAAATCACAATATATTTTATCGCAGTATTCAGGATACATATTCACAATTGCAATAATATTGTATCGTGATTCAAGTATCGTGATAATATTCTCCTGAGAGCCGAACTTTTGTTTAGTATGCATTTTTAATTTCTCCTAGCTATTTGGGATCAGTAGGACCTGATAAGTATAAAAAAACGAAACATTGTCAACAATATTTAAGTCCCAATGTCCTCAAAGGACACGATAATAAAGTCCCAATGTCCTCAAACTAGTACTTCCTAATGAACAGTGTCTTATCTTGTTACTGTGGCTAAAATTGGTCGAAAGTGTTGCCAAATCAAACTACAAACATTATTAATCATAAATGAAAAAAAAAAAAAAAACGTTTAGACCATAAAATGTGATCAGTTTTTGGACCACTTCTGTGTTGGGATCAGCTGCAGATTGACTTGGCAGAGATGGCTGCCATCTTGTTTTTACATGGATTAGTGTATTGTTCTCCTACTACCACTAGATGGCACAAAAAAGTGTCCACGAACGAGGACAACAGGTCTAAGTTAAGTAGGGCTGCCACGATTAGTCGACTAATCGATGACTAATCGACTATTAAAATAATCGGTGACTATTTTAGTAGTAAACTAATCGGTTTGAGTCATTTTTCATAGAAAAGTACTATAAAAGTACCCAAAATACTCTTACTGCAGCTTCTTATGTTCAGATATTGGCAGCTTTACACACTCTCCTGTGACAGTGAACTAAAACCCTTTGGCGTGAGTATGAAACAAGACATTAGATGACGTAATTTTGGGGTTTGGGCGAGACAGACAGACATTTTTCAACATTTAAACACATTTTTCGATGAAATGATTAGTCGACTAATAGAAGAAATAATCGACAGATTAGTCAACAATGAAAATAATCGTTAGTGGCAGCCCTAAAGTTAAGTAGAATGCAATATAAGGTCAAGTAAACCCAAAATGTGATGTCCTCAGTGGATCCTCCAGTGATTCCCACCTCTAGCTGCTAATATGTCTAAAATGTTATTGTAAATACACTATGCTACAACCTACAGAGCTCTAAGTGTGTTCATTGAATCTGAAAGGCCAGACTTGACTCTTTGCATGACATCATCTGTGTTTTTCAGATGATTGACATGGCTCAATATTTTCTGAGCGATTCCTTGTCAAGGCAACGTCTTATTTGCTCCACTGATGTGTTAAATCAGGCAGGAGCTCACATACTGGCATCAATCGTGTTACAATGTGGAAATTTAATCATTTCACTTTAGTGCGCCAAGAAAATGAGAGCAAGGCAGCCACCGAGCAGCCAGTGACTTCAACACATATCACTTATAGTTTAATTAGTCACCTAGACAACCGTTTAGCATGCTTTATCAATTCCTTTGTGTGTCTCTGTGTGTGTTCGTGTCTTCTTTAAGGCTCCTGAGTGATGACACACACACACACGCACACACCGCACTGAGAGTTCAGTCCAACTATGTCAAACGTGTTGCCTCCTCTCAGCACTCATTGGTGGGAACGTTTGTCTTTGTTCTCAGTCTGTTGGTTCAGAGTATTCTTCACCTAGGCTGTTTGTAAATAGCTGTGGCCTGCAGCCACGCAGCGCTCATTCCTCTCCTGGCCATCTCCTCGCTCGGACCCCTGCTCTCCTGCTCTGTGTAACCAGTAGGCGCACAGTGTGCAGCTCTCATAGAGCGAGAGTGCAAAGCGCATCCCAGCCAGTCTTCCTCCTCGCTCTCTGTTACTCACACCAGGATGGATCTACCCTCCTAGCAGTGCACAAGTCTACTTCAGCAGTTTGCAAGTTGGGTTCTCATTTAGGAGTGAGACAGGAGCTGGGAACAAACATTTCTTCTCTCCTCCTCTGACAAGATTTCCTTCGTCTCTGCGCGTCAACTTGGCTGTCGGAAACCTACATGATGAGAGCAACCGGGCTACAGTCGCGCCTCATGCTCCTGCTCTGCTTCATCTCCGCCGCAGCGTGCAATATGTTTGCGTTCACCGAGGAGCCCTCTGAGAGAGCCGGGAAAGGAGACGGGTATTGTAGTCGGATATTACGGGCTCAGAGCAATCGGAAGGACGGCAGCAGCGAGTTTCACCTCCGCGTTGAGGGAAACCCGGACAGCTATCAGCCGGGGAGCACATACAGAGGTTGGTGTTTATCCACGAGATTTACGCACACTGCGTTGGTTGGCACTATCTGCGCATTGCCAAATAAACACCAGTGCACGGTCAGTAGGTTATGCAAACTTAAAGTAAGTTTACACAGAGTGCACTTTTGATGCATGCCCTAAAACTAAAGAGATTCCAATAAAGAACTAAGCATTTGAACCATTAAAAGCCAAATAAAAACAATTCATTTTCAACTTAACGTGGACACCCTTGAGTAAATAGTAAGCCATGCCTTAAAAGCTGCTTTAATATCAAACTTTAAAGAGGTTTATATAAAGCTAAATCCCTCTGCGAACTCCTGCATGCTTTTTGGTATTCTCTTTCATAGTTAAAACAGATTTTTAAAATGCCAGCAGTCCCTCATTTCATAGCTTTTGTCTAAAGCTGAAGTTATTGGGAGCTGTTAATGGGCATGTGCCATCTGCTCTGTGAATCTCAGAGGCTCATGCTGTTCTGGACTCCACAATATGTTGCACTGCAGTTAATATTCAGTCTTTTTCAGATTTAATCATAAATAGTTTCATATCACCCAAAGCCAATAACTGAATTAGCTCCAAGTGGGGAGCTGATAATCACATTTTTTGCAATCACCTGTACTAGAAATGTAATTTTAAAGTCTTAAGAGTCTTATCTTAGCGTGCTGATAAAGTTGTCAAGTACAGCAAATTGAATTTTCCCCAAAGTAAATGAACATTCTTTTATGTTCTGCTGCGCTGCAGAAATGCATAAAAACACCATCTTACCGATCTTATGGAAATACTGCCTGACTAAGACTGAGCCATTGTAATTACTGTCATCCTCAAGAACAGCTGAAGTGTTTGATTGTGCATAAAGAAATTGTTACAGTTATATCTGAATATATTAGCCTTTATCCCCCACAGTCCAACACTGTATTATTTTTAATTACTCAGGCAGGTAGTTAATTAAGTCGACTTTAGTCTTGTGTTTGGCACTGAGGATTCTAGCTCTGCTTATTTCTCTGTCAAGTGATGCTTGTTTTCACTCCTGCTTGACTCCATCCAGTGACTGTGTCTGCAACCAGCCCCGCCTACTTCAGAGGGTTCACCCTTATTGCCCTGAGGGAGGGCACCATAGGAGACAGGGACGAGGACTACATTGGAAATTTCCAGGTAAGGTAGCAGCTAAATATGACTGCTTGTGCAGTCAGAGAGGAATATCAATTTCTGTTTTGTCTATTATCTCGGTGCATCTTCATGGTGATTAAGCGATCCTAGTCAGCCACACCTGTTGTTAGACCCTGATAATTACAGTGATGTCCATCCTTCGCACCATCTGTCCTCTGAAGTCTGACACAAGCACTGTGCATGACATGTGTGAGGAGCGAGAAAAAAATGATAAATCTTACAGGTGGGGGGGGGGCTCTTGACAGATTTTCTCTGCACAGCCTTCCTGTCTTCACATGTCAAAGTGTGATTATTCTCACCTCACCTCCTCTAATGGGCTTGGTATAACATTTGAGAAGAGCATACTCTCAGCTCCATGTAGCTGTGCTTTTCCAGACTCTGAAGGCACATGTGTGTGGAATTTGAGGAGCGGTGTTGCCCACAAGCAGGCATACAGTTCATGTATGTAGGAAGTGTACAATTGGGAGAGCTGAGAGGCTAATAATCATTTTACACAGGCAGGCCAAGCCGGAGTACTGTAGGAAGCAGGGAGAGAACAGAAGTGGGGCCAACAGTGCGAAAACAAGAGAGAGAGAAGGCAAGGAAACTGGTGCTGTTAGGGACATGTGATAATGGACACATATGTGAGGCTTTTGTAATTATGATGCAGTGTGAGGAGTTGGGTGGTAGAGAAAGAGGAGATTGGTTGATGGGGTGTGTGTCTATTGAGAGAGTGGAAGAACAATAATCTTGGAATAAACTTAAGACATATTTTTTATTTCTAGAATGATACAAAGTATTATACATGTAGTGCTATCCATGCTGTATTATGTAATGTCCGCAGATGCTATTACACTACATTGACAGTGTAGGACTGCACTGTAAGTTGATGAAACCTCAATGTAAAATCATAACCTTTGAATTTGTTCCCTTTCACTGTTTCTGGTTCCTCTCTCGTGCCTTTTAGCTCGCTAAGTCCTGCCACTGTTTATTTCATCAAGTCAAGGCTGCAGTTTGAAGACACACACAGAGCTTACAGTGCACAACATGACATCCTGTTTTCAAAGGATTTGAAAAGAACTGAGCAACTGAGGAATTGGTTTCACTTTTATCAAGTACTCAAAATGTTAGAAAGATATAGAAGTGTAGTTTACAAAAGTAAAGCCAGTGTATCATGATTCACAGTTTGTTTTTTTTCAGTAAGAGGCAGACATAAGGTTTCAACCTAAGCCAAATTCCCAGTGCTGTCCAGAACTTGAAATCATATGTCTTCTTTGAGCAGGCCTTGTAAAAAAAGCAGTTGTTAAATGGGTTTAACAGCATGTGTGGATTTCTCTTTTTCAGACTTTTGTGAACCTGTCGGTTTCAGTAAAACCCTATTATTTTATTGAACCTGTGGTACATTACACGGGGAGGTTTGCACAGCAGCCCTCAGGCTGCTCTGATCTCAGCTACTGCCATGCTGTGGCACTCTCTGTGAACCTGAGCCTTGAATATGAGAGGACATAAAAACACAAGAACATTTTATTTTTGTACTGTCATTACATGGCACTAACACCGGGAAGAATTTTTTTTAGGTGTTATTTGTCCCTGCAATTGATTTCTGTTGTTCATGCTGTTGTTATTTAGTGCCAGCCTTGAGCTTGCTCTTCAGCCATATGGCGTGGTGTGACAGGGCGCTAAACGTCAAGAGTAAAGATGGGGAAACACTACATCATTTAGTCATGTTCAGTCACTTTGCTCCACACATGGATGACGCCGAGTGTGGGGTGCTCAGAGAGTGATAGATCGAATGTGAACATAGCCTTAAGATGTTGGTATCAACAGTAAAAAGAATGGATGTGTTATTACCGGGACCTGCCTTTGATTAGTTGCCTGCGAGGTTTTAAGAAGTTGAAGGTCTCTTTCACAGCTGCGGATGATCACCTGTTTCGTTACAAGTGCCATGTGACCGCGCAGTAAAAATAAACTGCTGCCCAAAGAGAGATATCCCTCTATCATCACCTGCTCAGTTAGTCTTTCATGTTTTATGTCTTTTATGTCAAAAAAAGCGCGCGCACGCACACACACACACACACACACACACACATAGATTTGCGCACACACACCATTCCTCCATTCTGAAAGAGCCCTGGGTGGGCCAGCCTCCAGGCATTGAGAGAAAAGAAAGAAAAAAAAAAGAAGCTGCTACAGAAGACGTCAGGCTTTATTTAACATACAGCTCATTTGAAATCCGTTGGTGTGCCCCGTCTCAGCCGTCTCAGGACAGCTCCCGACTTGATGAAAAGCACTTTTATTGAGCTTTCTGGGAAGGTCAGCTGCCACTGTGTGTATGTGTGTGTGTATGTGTATGTGTGCGTTCGTTGGCAAGAGCGTAAACCAGCGGGCCAAGCTGGTGATGTCTGATGAGACATTACTTCCCAGCAGGGTGAGATGATAGAACAAGAAAAGGCAAACGTGGCTGTGTTAGGGGTGAAATCGGTGCCACTGTGAGGGCAACATACGACATAACCACAGATAATGGCATAGTAGAGGTCGTGGGTGCATTGTTCTGTCCTCACATCATAATTCCACAAGGATGATCTGATGTCAGGGCACGTAACCTCTGTGCAAACTGTGCTGTTTACATTCACTTTCCCAAAAGTCCCCTGTTATTTTAAAGCTGTGGAGTCAAGCACTTTTTCAGATGCACAAGTTTGTGCATAAACCCAGAATCACAACTCAATTTTTCCAATTATGTGTCACATTTTCTCTATTCCCAACACACTCCGTCTCTTTATTGGTAGAAGATTTGAAAATTTGGATTTAGACACGTACAAGACGAAATGGGTCAGAGGTCAGTCAGCAGCAAATTGGTTGCTTCTTTTTGCAAATGGCGTTGAGACCTCACTGGTTTTAACGTGTTGTAGTCTGGTCAGGCCACCCCAGGATGCCTGTTAGAAACCATGGGAACATGGAGGGGGGGCTGGATAATCCGTCAGACCAAAATAGGCTGCGCACACACACTGCACGCTTACACACACACACACACACACACATGCACATAGAGGCATGCACATCCACACACTATCCACTTTAAGAGGGAACTCATTCATAACGTGGCATGACAAAGGAAATTCTCTGCTGACAGCTTTATGGAGTGAGAAAGTTCCCCGTCTTTACTGCCCTGATGTCACTTCCTATCAAACAGATCCTTGCTCTCTGGGCAGTGAATATTAGCTCACCGGCTGCACTCCCTCATGCAACCCTGCTTCACTAATTTCCTGTCCAGTTAAAATCAATGAGATGCTCAGTGTCTCAGGTGAGCACTTGAGTCGAGGGGGCAGCGTGTATTCTTACTCTTCAGTTTGACCCAAAGAGTCTGGGGACTTTATTCTTTTAAAGCTACAGCTGGTAACTTTAATGAAAATAACTTTGTGTCATATTTGCTTAAACTGTCACTATATTTTGGAAGAAGTACATGAGATAGATAGTCTGTGAAAAAATAATGTCCCTCCTACTGCCTCTAATGGCATTATCTGAAATCTACTGCAGCGCCCCCCCAAAAAAAAACAGTCAGACCAAAGGAGTCTCCAATGCAGCTGTACATCATGTCAATCACTGCTCGTGAACTTCAGTCAAACTGTCAAACTAGGCAGCGCTGATCAAAAATGATTCAAGATTCTATTACTGCATTGTCTATTTCTCAATTCAGATGTTTTCACAGACATATTTTAGTGTACTGTTTAGCTGTAAAATGAGAAAGATTGTGACTCGACCATCATGTTGGAAATGACGTACCAAGCACTGCCCACTCACTGGACCAACTTTTCATTTTACAGCTAAACAGTACTCTAAAATGTGTTTCTAGAAACATTTGAGGTGAGAGATAGGCAATGCAGTAACCAACATTTGATTCATGTTTATCAGTGCTGCCTAGTTTGAAAGTTTGACAGCTGCTTTAGAGGCTCCTTGGCTATGATTGGTTGCATTCGTTCACGTGTGGTAATGCCATTGAAAGTAAATCGAGGGTTGGAAGAACATGATTTTTTCTCATAGATCATCTGTCTCTGCAAATATGACAAAAACTTATTATTATTAAAGTTAAAAACTACAGCTTTTATACTGCCTACAGTGATCGCATCATGTTCTGGTATCTGGGTTCTAACTCTGATCGATTCAATTATCGATGACTTCAAGTCAGTTTAATTTATTTCACCAGGATAAGCCACTCAGTATCAATACCTATGCCCACTAGGCTGACAGACAATATGGAAAGTGGATGAAGTGTCACCCACTCACCAGAGTGGATTAATTACTTTGCTATTTGGAGTCAAATGCCCTAACTAGTTTTTGTACTATGCTGTGCTGAAGAAGCTTGTGTCCTTGTCCCCAACACTCTGACAATGACAGATTTCCACAAGGACTTCAATGAGGAAATCAGCTTTCTCATCTCGCTTTTTCTGACACAGTGGTTTCCAACCTTTTTGGCTTGTAACCCCTTGAAATCAGGCAGCATCTACTCCTTGTTAAAGCTTACGTAGAATTGAGTTGTGATATGAATTCTAACCAGACTAGAAAAGTATCCAATATTTCACAAGAAAAAAAAATAAAGATTAGAGAATAAGATATACAACATTTATTGCCATTTATTTGGCAGAACATTTTTTCCCTTTCTCCTTGCCGGTAATCATAAGTCAGACTGCTTTAACACACACACTGGAGTTTAAACTAGTGGATGTGAGAGGATTCGGTTCAGCAGTGGTGCCTTGCTGCTCCCCCCTCTGGCCTCCCTGATGAAAATAATTTAAGGCAGACATTACTGTCTTTGAAAGGCTTTGGCATATGCATTTTTTAAGCTAGGTGAGACGGTTGCGAAGGTAGTGGTATCTTGTGAAACTAGACAACTTAAGGCATCCATTGGTACAAAGCATGTCAGCGTAGCTTGTTGAGAAGAGGGTTAAAAAACACTCCAAACTTGAGCTAGATTTTCGAGAGGGAACAACTGGCATGACCTCCCACTTCAAGATACCTGAATGATCTGGGTGCCCACGAGTGTCCCCTTAACTTGGGTAGGCTTGTTTCCAGTACATGTTTTGATCCTTACAATCAATGTAGTCTTCAAATTAAAGCTGTGTATTTGCATTTTTGAAGAAAAGGGACATCCAGCAAATTTGGAGAACAATGAATTGCTTAATAGATATGGATACATAACCATTAAAACAGGATTGTTGTGGAGCTCTAACTGACCAGTATTAGTCTATGCACATCAGATAATTAGTAATATAAACTGTAAAATACACCAAAATCAACAGCATAATAGAGTTTATTAAATTCAGTTATGGCTTTTGGTTTTGGTGTCACATCCCAAGATTTTTAGTGGCCCCATCTGGCAACTTCTGTGAAAATTTCTGGGGGTGACACTGCAGTTCAGTTTAACATAATGGCTTCAGAAGTCAGAGGTGTTTGTTGTTTTAATGACTCTCATGTTGTGTATTTGAATATTTGGTTAATTCCCTTGATATGTCCTGAAAATGTGAAATTAATGTCAGTCTCAGACGCTAATTATGTTTATATAGAGCTGACAATGGGAGAGGAAATTAATGTGAAATGGTCCAATGCCTAATGAATACAATCACATGCTGATGTTTCAAGTGCTTTTGAGGCAAGGCTTGTCTGAGGACATTTTTAATCATCACTAATCTGTGTGTGTGTGTGTGTGTGTGTGTGTGTGTGTGTGCGGTGTATGTGTGTCTTACAGATAATTGATGACGAGGAAACACAGTTTATGACCAACTGCCCCCCTGCAGTGACAGAGAGCACTCCTCGCAGACGCACCAGCATCCAGGTGTTTTGGACTGCGCCCCCCGGTGGCTCCGGCTGTGTCAACATTAAGTATGTATACCCCGACTGATGCTGAGCTTGACGAGCTGGGTATCAGCTCAGACGCTTAGAGATACACTGTACATTACTGGTGGGAGATTAACTTTCAGATAACAGGTCCTTGTTCTTGGTAAACTCTAATCTATTATGTTCTAATCTAAAAGGTCTGGTAATGTGGAGAGTGGGCTTTCTTTTTTTTCACTCCCTACATCACAGCCTGCGAATCAGTGGAGAAAACAAGATACGAGCTTATAGTCTACAAGTCCCGAGGATGGATTTGTTTTGTGTTTATCTCCTGCTGACCATTTTCAAAGCGTTCTATAAGCTTTTAAATGTCTTATATCCTCTTGTATTTTTGCGATGGGAATTTATCAGAGCAGATTTGTAGCATTTATATCAACAAGGGTCGACTAAATAACAGAAACACCTTTCTGTATAATGCAATGTAATTCAATGGCACCACAAGCTACCACCTCCAATATACTCGTCGTCGTCGTCGTCGTCGTCGTCCTCCTCCTCCTCCTCCTCCTCCTCCTCCTCCTCCTCCTCCTCCTCCGCTTATCCAGGTCCAGGTTGCGGGGGCAGCAGCCTCAGCAAAGAAGCCCAGACAGTCCTCCCCCCAGCCACTTCCGTCAGCTCTTCCGCGGCCAGCCGGGTGATGTAGTCCCTCCAGCGTGTTCTGGGGTGGCCCCGAGGTCTCCTCCCGGTTGGACACACCCGAAACACCTCCCAAGGGAGGCGTCCGGAAGGCATCCTTACCAGATCCCTGAACCACCTCAACTGGCTCCTCTCGATGTGGAGGAGCAGCGGCTCTACTCCGAGTCCCTCCCGGATGTCTGAGCTCCTCACCCTATCCCTAAGGCTGAGCCCAGCCACCCTGTGGAGGAAACTCATTTCGGCCGCTTGTACTTGCGATCTCATTCTTTCAGTCACTACCCAGAGCTCATGACCATAGGTGAGGGTTGGAACGTAGATGGACCGCTAAATCGAGAGCTTCGCTTTCTGGCTGAGCTCCCTCTTCACCACAACAGACCGGTTAAGCGCCTGCATCACTGCTGACGCCGCCCCAATCCGCCTGTCAATCTCCCGCTCCATCCTACCCTCACTCGTGAACAAGATCCCGAGATACTTAAACTCCTCCACCTGAGGAAGGACCTCCCCCCCCGACCTGGAGTGGGCAATCCACCCTTTTCCAACCCTCACCGGGAACAGGTCCGACTTACTGCCAGCCACGCGAACCAGACTCATGCTCCTTCGGTACAGGGACTGGATGGCCCTTAGCAAGGGACCACCAACCCCATACTCCCGGAGCACCCCCCACAGGATGCCCCTGGGGACACAGTCGTAAGCCTTCTCCAAATCCACAAAACACATGTGGACTGGTTGGGCAAACTCCCATGCCCCCTCCAGCACCCTGGCGAGGGTAAAGAGCTGTTTCACTACCGCAGCAACTTCTGCCCCAGAAATTGGACAACCCGCCTCCGAGACCCCCGTCTCTGTTTCCTCACTGGAATACGTGTTGGTGGGATTGAGGAGCTCCTCAAAGTATTCCTTCCACCGCCCGACAGTGTCCCCAGTTGACGTCAGCAGCTCCCCGCCCCCACTGTAAACAGTGTGAGCAAGTTGCCGCCTTCCCCCCCTGAGGCGCCGGACGGTTTGCCAGAACCTCTTTGGAGCCGATCGATAGTCTTTCTCCATGGCCTCACCGAACTCCTCCCATGCCACTTGGCCCGCTGGTACCCATCAACTGCTTCCGGAGACCCACAGACCAACCATGCCCTGTAGGCCTCCTTCTTCAGCCTGACGGCTCCCCTCACCTCTGGTGTCCACCAGTGGGTTCGGATTACCGCCGCGACTGGCCCCAGCGGCCTTGCGGCCACAGCTCGCAACCGCCACCTCGACAATGGCAGAGTGGAACAAGGCCCATTCGGACTCAATGTCCCCCTCTGCCCTCGGGACGCGGTAGAAGCTCTCCCGGAGGTGGGAGTTGAAGATCATCTGGACAGGTTCTTCCGCCAGGTGTTCCCAGCAGACCCTCACTGTTCGTTTGGGCCTGCCAGGTCTGCGTGGCGTCTTCCCCCACCATCTGATCCAACTCAGCACCAGGTGGTGATCAGTTGACAGCTCTGCTCCTCTCTTCCCCGAGTGTCCAGAACATATGGCCGCAGGTCAAATGATACGACTACAAAGTCGATCATTGACCTGCGACCTAGGCTGGCCTGGTGCCACGTGCACTGATGGACATCCTTATGTTTGAACATGGTGTTAGTTATGGCCAAACTGCGACCCGCACAGAAGTCCAATAACTGAACACCACTCGGGTTCAGATCGGGCAGGCCGTTCCTCCCAATCACACCCCTCCAGGTCCCGCTGTCATTTCCCACGTGAGCATTGAAGTCCCCCAGCAGAACAATGGAGTCCCCGGTTGGGGCACTGTTCAGCACCCGTCCCAGGGACTCCAAAAAGGGCGGGTACTCTGAACTGTTGTTCGGCGCATAAGCACAGACAACAGTCAGGACCCGTTCCCCAACCCGAAGGCGCAGGGAAGCAACCCTTTCGTCTACCGGGGTAAACCCCAACGTACAGGCAGAGAGTCTGGGGGCTATCAGAAAGCCCACCCCGGCCCTCCGCCTCTCACCCGGAGCAACTCCAGCGAAGGAGAGAGTCCAACCCCTCTCAAGGACTAGGGTTCCAGAAACGGAACTATGTGTCGAGGTGAGGCCGACTATATCTAGCCAGTAGCGCTCAACCTCTTCCACAAGCTCCGGTTCCTTCCCCGCCAGAGAGGTGACATCCCATGTCCCAAGAGCCAACTTCTGTAACCGAGGATTGGACCGCCAAGGCCCCCGCCTTGGTCTGCTGCCCAATCCACATTGCACCGAACCCTTCTGGATCCCTCTGCGGGTGGTGGGCCTGCAGGGGGACGAGCCCATGTAGCAAGTTAGGGCTGGGCCAGGCCGGACCCCATGGACAAAGGCCCAACCACCAGGCACTCGCCCACAGGCCCCAACCCCAGGCCTGGCTCCAGGGCGGGGCCCCGGTAACCCTTCGGGCCGGGTACACGTGTCCTTGTTTGTATCCATCATCAAGGGTCTTTTGAACCGTTCTTCGTCTGACCCTTCGCCCAGAACCAATGTGCCATGGGAAACCCTACCAGGGGCAAAATGCCCCCGACAGCATAGCTCCTAGGGTCATTAGGGCACTCAAACTCCTCCACCACGATAAGGTGACGGTTCTTGGAGGAGCTCCAATATACTCATAAAGATTTATTGCAGGGGTTTTGGGTTAGACTGCATTATCTTTAGCTATAGATGTACCCATGGCTAAAACTGACAGTGTTTATTGATAGTGGTAACAGTAAATTTTCATGTGAGTGATGTTGGCACACTGTAGTAGGACAGTTTTAAGCATTAGCTGTTCCACTTTTTAACGAAACATTTTACAACATTGATTATCTAGCTTGTATTTAATTCTGTTATACCCAGTAACATCTGAGTTTCAATCATTTAATGTATAGTACTACAGCTCTCTGGGATTGTGAGCTGTACCATCAGCATATATCAAGCATGCATGTACAGTAAATCAGTTTAATTACATCCCTTCCCCCGAGCTAAGTTAAATACACAATGTCTTGTCAAATTTTCCTTCCCACACGGCTTCATAAACTATCCATTACCTTTATTAGTCTTATGGCCAAATGGCATCCATCAACTGTGCTGTTGTGCATACTCTGGGCATGCTTGGATACAGAGGGGTAGTCATGTTCTGCTGGAGACAGATTATGGCAGGAATCCATTTATTAACCCAGCACTGTGGGGGAAATAATGAGAGTACAGGAAGTGGAACGATACAAAGGGACCATGACTCACAAGACCTTCTGATCAATACATTATTTAACTGTTTGTGCACCCAGTCAGTCCCTCTACTGCCTGGTCTGTTCTAATGAACAAACGGATGATGGAAATGTTGCATTCTTTAGTTATGCATGTTATTGTGTGACTGATAGAGAGTGTGATGAGTTTCCCTTTTTTCTGTGTCTCTATGCTTTCCATTTCCCTTGCCCTAATCTTTCTGGAGTATCTTCACGACCTGCCCTCTCAATAACCTCTGAGCTTTTCTATAAGCTCTCTCACTCTTCTTCTGCTCCTCGCTGTGTCCTCCTCTCTTTTTATATCTCTTTGTTTTCATCTTCGCTGTGGTGCTGTCATAGTTTTCTCACAGCAGGTCATGTCATGTGGCACTTCTGCTCTCCTCATAGAGACCAGTGGGATGATTGCGGTATTGTACTCAGTTATAAGCACATGGATAGAGGGAAAAAGTTGAAAGTGTGACGGAGCATACAGCCTAGAAAGAGAGGAGATACTTGAAAGTGCTGAGATGTGGATGTAGTAATACCAGGGCACAGACAATAAGGGAGAGAGAGAGTGAGGACTTCAAAAGAGATGCCTCTGAAAATCATGATTACAGGCAGGGAGTGGGTATTTGCCACTGTTCTTCCCCCTACCTGGCACTCATAAAGATGACAAGGCTTTTTGTATGCCTCTGTGCCGCAACAGAACAAAAGTCTTAATTAAGTCTTATTGATTGGGGAGGTTCAACTCTTGTTCCTAACTGACAAGTGCAGGGCTTTTATATGAAACTGTTCAGAGGGAGAGACATCCTTGTACACTATGGCTTTGTTATAATACAGCCCAACCAGCAGAGAAACATGGGTACTGTACATATACACACATACTGTGTAGCCAACAAATACGCACAGACAGAAACAACATAATAATGTGAAATGATTGCTAATATCGTAGATTAGCTTGAAGAGGACAATTTTGTCACCACCACAGGCTGGGTAAATGTTTGTTTTTAATTTGATTTTGTATCCCGAAAGAGTTCGGTCAGCCTCCCTGCCTGTAAAGTATCATGGTTATTTTCAAAAAAACAACATCTGGCCATGAAATTAGAAGTGTGTGTGTGGCATGTGTGTTTCTGTTAGAAGGCTCCAGAGACTCGTGCCCCTC